TCCAACTTTCGCCAATTCATACCGAAACGACCTACTAACCTCCAAATCAACATCTGGACACGCTCCTAAGACCAAAATCACCATACGGAGCTATTGTAACTATCAAAACTCCATTCTGGAGTCATCTTCCCACAAGTCAAACTACAATCAACTTTTATAACTTAAACTTTCAACTTAGGGACTATGTGTCCTATTTCACTCCGAAACTCACCCGAAACCAAAACCAAATACCCTGACAAGTCACGTAACCACAATATAACATAGAGGAACCATAAATTAGGAGATCATGGCTAAAATACTCAAAACGACCGCCCGGGTCGTTACATCTTCCCCCTCTTAAAACAAACGTTCGTCCTCGAACGAGTATAGAGACATACCTGAAGTGGTGAAAGGATGAGGATAACGACTACGCATATCATGCTTGGTCTCTCAAGTTGCCTCCTCGACTAGTTGACCCCTCCACTTAACCTTCACTGAAGTAATATTCTTCTACCTCAACTTTCGAACATGTCGGTCCAAAATGGCCACTGGCTCCTCAACATAAGACAGATCCTTGTCCAACTGGACTGAGCTAAAATCCAACACATGAGACGGATCATCGTGATACAACCAGAACATGAAATACTGGATAAACTGCAGCTAGACTAGGTGGTAGTGCAAGCCTGTAGGCCACCTCTGCAATCCTCTCAAGTATCTCTAAAGGTCTGATATACCTAGGCTCAACTTTCCTTTCTTCCCGAACCTCATAACACCCTTCATGTGCGAAACGTGGAGCAAGACCCGCTCCCTAACCATGAATGCAACATCGCAAACCCTCTGATCTGTATAACTCTTCTATCTAGATTGGGTTGTGTGAAGTTGATCTTGAATCAATTTAACCTTTTCCAAAGCACCCTGAACCAAGTCTATACCCAGTAGCCTAGCCTCACCCAGATCAAACCAACCCACCATGGACCGACACTGTCTACCATACAAAGCCTCATACGGAGCCATCTGAATGCTCGACTGGTAGCTGTTGTTGTAGGCAAACTCCGCAAGCGGCAAGAACTGATCCCAAGAACCCCCAAACTCCATCACACATACACTATTCAGATATCCTCCAATATCTAAATAGTGCTCTCGGACTGTCCGCCCGTCTGAGGGGTGAAATGCTGTACTCAACTCAAACCGAGAGCCTAACTCATGTTGTACGGCCTTCCAGAACTGCGATGTAAACTGCGTACCTTGGTCAAAGATGATGGATACCGGCACGCCATGAAACCTGACAATCTCGCGAATATAAACTCAAGCCAGCTGCTTAGAAGAATAAGTAGTCACCACTGGAATAAAATGAGCTGATTTGGTCAACCTATCCACAATCACCCAAACTGCATCAAACTTCCTCCAAGTCCGTGGGAGCCCAACAAAGAAATCCATCGTAACCCGCTCCCATTTCCACTTTGGAATCTCTAGCTTCTGAAGCAATCCACCTAGCCATTGATGTTCATACCTCACCTACTGACAATTTAGGCACCGAGCTACATACTCCACTATGTCTTTCTTCATTCTCATCCACCAATAGTGCTGCCTCAAGTCCTGATACATCTTGGCGGCATCCGGATGAATGAAGTACCGCGAGCTGTGAGCCTCCTGGAGAATCAACTCACGCAAACCATCTACATTAGGCACAAATAGCTTGCCCTACATCCGTAATACACCGTCATCTCTAATAGTGACCTCCTTAACATCACTGTGTTGAACCGTGTCCTTAAGGACAAGTATATGGGGGTCGTCATACTAACGCTCTCTGATACGATCATATAGAGAAAACCTAGAAACCATACAAGCCAAAACTCGACTCGGCTCTGAAACATCCAATCTAATAAACTGGTTGGCCAAGGCCTGAACATCCAAGGCTAATCGCCTATCTGCCGCCAGTTGATATGCTAAATTGCCCAAGCTCTCCGCCTTGCAACTCAAGGCATCGGCCACCATATTGGTCTTCCCTGGATGATACATAATGGTGATATCACAGTCCTTATACAACTTTAATCATATCCGCTGACGCAAGTTAAGATCCTTATGTTTGAACAGATGTTGTAAACTCCGGTAGTCGGTATAAACCTCACAAGGGACACCGTACAAATAGTGCCGCCAAATCTCCAAGACATGAACAATAGTTGCTAACTAAAGGTCGTGGATATAATAGTTCTTCTTATGCACCTTAAGATGTCTAGATGCATAGGCAATCACCCTACCGTCCTGCATCAACACCGCAACCAAACCAATACGCGACGTATCACAGTACACAGTATAAGACCCCGAACCTGTAGGCAACACCAACACTGGAGTTGTAGTCAAAGCAGTCTTGAGCTTTTGAAATCTCTCCCCACACTCCTCGGTCCACCTGAATGGAGCACCCTTCTAGGTCAATCTGGTCATAGGTGCAATAATAAATGAGAAAACCTCGACGAATCGATGGTAATATTCTACCACACCAAGAAAAATTCGGATCTCTGTAGCTGAAGATGGTCTGGGCCAACTTTACATTGTCTCAATCTTCTTCGGATCTACCTTGATCTCCTCACTCGATACTACATGGCCCAAAAATGCCACTGAATCAAGCTAGAATTCATACTTTGAAAATTTTGCATAAAACTTCTTTTCTCTTAAGGCCCGGAGCACGGTCCTCAGGTGCTGCTCATGATCCTCTGTCAAAGTACTATGGCGAAACCAACAAGTTGAAGAGGTCACATGGGAGGGCAAGGAAGAAATGAAAAGGACACACACTCATTTGTTTTTGTAACCAAATAGTTTTGTTTAAAGAATGTTAAATGTTTACTTTCTATGAGTTATGTTCAACTTATACAGTTCATGCTAAAGATGCCCATTTTGGCTAATGCAATATTTATAAGGTTATAGTTTGTGTTTTTTTCATGCTATGATGAGTTGTTGTGTTATGAATATGTTGTTAGTATTGGTTTCTGGGCCCTCTAACAGATGGATAGACCCAAATAAAAGGGAAACTCTGCCGAAAGTTTTGGAAATTTGGGGAGTCAACTAATTTGGAACTCTTCATGTGTGAATGAAGAGTTAAGTCATACTAGTGTTTCAGGCGGGCTCTATTCTACATTCGAGGGTGAATGCTCCCAAGTAGGAAAGGATGTGAGCCCCATAAAAGTTCACCAGGGATTTGAGGTTTACAGTGCCAAGGTAGGCCAATGTGTTTTGCAAGATTGCAGATACACGGTACAGATTTTTGGACTGTGCAGTATATCATGAAAAAGGTTGAAGAATTTGCAGAAGATGGCAATTATGTGGTTCATTATGAGACCGTCGATATGTTCCGTTGACCACAGAACCATCGCGGATTGAACCAGAATAAGCTTAATTTTGAGGGCCATTTTACAGTCCAATATGTGACCGAAGATTCATGCCGCAGATCGCATATTATCATGAGAAATTTTGGAAGGAGATTCTGTGGTCCAATGTGCGACCGTAGAATCGATTCGTTAACCACAGATCCATCACAGATAGGATCAAGCCCAACCCATATTTGGTGGACTAATTCGTGATCCTTTTCACGGACCGTACACCTATTCTACGATCCTGTCCGCGATCGCATACCCGACTTAGAGGTTGAAATTTGGAAAAATTTTTACCTGACCCTATTTTAACAAAAAAGCATCGTGAGTTATTTTAGAAAGCTTCAGCTGCTATTTTAGAGAGAGGAGAGCAATCTAGAGAGAGATGGGTGAGCTCCAACATTCCTACTCTTTAAATTCTTGCTCAATCTTGAAAATTCAAGGGAGTTATTCACTAGGTCATCAACTATTCGGGTAAGACTTCGCCCCTAAGGTTCCATGAAAGCTTTGTAATAGGTTTAAGTATGATTTTATAATAATAGGGCTTATAGGATGGTGATCGAAAGCCATAAGCCCTCAAACTCGAAAGTGGGTGTGCATGAGGGCTATGAAGTGTGATTCTTGAAGTTTGGAGTAGATGATCGGGCATGTACGTGCCAATTGAGGTTGAGAGGTGTTGTGTGACTGGGTAGATTGATTTCTGGTTGTTGAAATTAGTTTTTGGGAGAGAGACTTTCAGGTAGACTTATTGGTAGGCAAATAAAGCCACGTATACGTATGATATAATAAAAGTGAGTTCAACATATATTATTTATTGGATAAACAATTGATCTAATATCAATACAAAAGTATATATATTCATAATTGCCGTCTCTTCCATTAGGAAATACCTAAGTGGAACACAATTATACAATCATATAACCATAGAGATTATCGCATTATATATTATTTATAGGATAAACGATGTGATATAAAACCTTTTTATTTTCTAAAAAGATTTTGGATTTAACAATTTAAAGTCGCTAGTAAAAATATGTACAAGTAATAATCCAAAATTCTTGATAGGTAAGTTTCAAAAATTTACTCCGACTCTAATCATAGTTTGTATTTAACAATTTAAGTCGCTAGTAAAAATATATACAAATAATAATCCAAAACACTTAATAGGTAAGTTTCAAAAAGTTGCCCCGATTCCCGTCGTATGTCATGTGCTATAATACTTTTATAGACATGTTAGGTTATGGAAAAACCTATCCATATACTGTACTATAACAACAAACTCAGTGAAATCAGACAAGTATGGTGTGAGAGGATAGTATGTACGCAAACCTTATCCCTACTGTGTTTGTACTTGATAAATATCTAACATGCATTTTTACATAGATACTAATTACTTAACTATAGTAAATACTCTATTATGGTATAAAAAACCTGGTTCGCCTAAGACTTAACTCCATTTATTCCCTTTCATGGAAATGTAAAATTTCAAAAAGTGATGCAATTTACAAAAATGTTTTCTATTGTCAAAATTAGGGTTTTCCATACAAGTTTTGAGAGTAAAAAGTGACCATAGACCCAACCCGGTATAGTATTCGGGTCAATCCGAACATCACAGACAATGGACCGAATCTTGTCCAAGGCAACTTTTTTGACCCTACAAAATCGCAAGGACTAGAAAAGCGCCAATCGTTCTTGCCCTAGCACCCTTCATCAGCAGCCGCTGCAAAACTTCCATCAACAGTCAAAATGGTACCCTTTTTTTCCTCCTCTGCGTTATACTTCACTTGTTAAATATAAGTTTAAATTGAAATACATAATCGTTTGTATAGATAATCATATATTTAAAGTGTCAAAAGAGCTGTAATTATTTTAGCTCATTCAAGCTATTTCCGTTTTTTTTTTCGTTTTTTTTATTGATGATAAAAGAGTCGATAATATTAGATGAGCACTTCATTAGGTTTATTAATGTTATTGGATAATGCTAAAGATTGCATCTTTTTGTGAAATTGCTATTGTCAATGATTTTTGTGGAAGTGCTAATATTATTTTAACCTTAAAAACCAAATGCTGTTATATGGCTCAATGGCTTGTTTCATTGAACACTCTGGAAAAATGTATTGTGATAATAGCAATTGAAAACGCTAGTTTGAACAAGAGATAAGATTCATTTTAGAGTGTAGAATTTTCGTCTTGCATATTTTAGCAATATGTTTTACAATAGTATCGATTATGAGAAGTTAATCTTCTGGTTGGGTAGGTTTCAATTGCCATATTTGTCAGGGGCGGATCTAATGGTACAAGTATGGGTTCCCGGAAACCTAGTAGCTCTTGGCTAGATCCTGTATTTGTATTAAGAAAATCATTCAATGTCTAAGAATATTTAGTTTGGAACCCAGTTCTTTAGTCCGGTTATTACAACAACAACAACAACATACCCAGTATTATCCCACAGTCCGGTTATTATAATATATTAATTTAAAGTCGATGTAGGAACCCATAAACTTAAAATTCTGGATCCGCCTTTGATATTTGGGTCGAGGTGGATTTGTTTAGTGTACTTTTTTTAGTGTGAAAAGGTAGACTTGTTTAGTCTACTTTAACTAGGGAAACCTGTTGCTAATGAGATGAGATTGGTGTAGATACCACTATGTGCACCTGAACTTTAGCAGAAGTTGTGTTGAGTTTTAATGTGTAATATGCTATTTTTGCCGCAGACTAAGAGGACCAAGAAGGCTGGAATAGTTGGAAAGTATGGTAAGTATTATAGCTCCTTTTTAACACATTTTACATTTTGCATTAATAAGGATATTATTTGATTTTGTATTACCATAAGGCTCTTATTTGTAACTTTAAGAACTACATTTGATGATGTGGTTTGATTTTCCCAATTTCACTTGCTTGAGTAGGATTTTGCTTCAATCTATATTTCCTTATATTTGATTCTTGCTACATTGGCGAGTCAGCCTGGATTTCATCAGTCCAATACTTCCATTATCTTATTAGAAGTTCTACTGCACACTGTGGGTTCTTGTTTTTAAGTAATTTTTTTATTTTTCAATGTAAGTAACAAGTATAGATCAAAGAAAAAATAAAAGTGGAATATTGTAAAAGAGCCTTTTCAAGGTTAATTAAAAAACGATATAATAGGAGATAATTGAGTGGAAAGATCTGGGTGATTCTGCAGTTTTTATATTTTGCAATAGTATATATAGAGGAATATTGGGTGTTGTATTTGTATATGGACATCAAGCCCTAACTTACTAGATTATATCTCCTACCTCTGCTCAAAAGGGTGAAGTTTGATACTCCGACATAATCCAGAAGATCCATGCAGTGCCTGATTGAATTCTCCCTGAGATGTTTCGGATCAGGCTATGTTATCAACACTAAGATAGATAGTAGTTTTAGTCAATGGATGCTAATATCCCTAAGCTGGTGCTACTTGTTACTAGAATCAATCACATTCGACGTTATGCCTTAGTAGATGTCTGTATGTCTGAAATGAATGGTTATGTGGGTCAGGCTGGATGTTAATTGAGGTTTTGGTGGTTTTTGTTGACCTGACACCCTCTTAAAATTAAAATTTTGTCCACAACACTATGCTCATGAGCTGGAGTCAGTTCTTTTACTAAAGTTGCTTCTGCTATAGCAGTATTCTCTCCTTGGATATCATTTTACTGTTTCTTTTATTAGTATATATCATGGTTTTCATCCAAGGCAATTATATCTCTGATTTTTGTATTGGATGATTTAAATTTCCCTTTTTATCCGTTGCAGTTGCATATACTATTGAAAAATTACTGTTTTCTTATTGTCTGACAAATTTATATTCCTGATTCTCTTTCCTTCTATGCATAGGTACCCGTTATGGTGCCAGTCTGCGTAAGCAGATTAAGAAGATGGAGGTTAGCCAGCATAGCAAGTACTTCTGCGAGTTCTGTGGAAAGGTATGGTTTGTTACACTTAATAAACTGGAAGCTCCATACAATATGATAGTTTTCTTAGCTGCACGTTTGGATTCCTGATCTACTTTAAATAGTTGTTAAGTTCATGATTCTCATCATATACTTGCTGAGCAGTATGCAGTAAAAAGGAAAGCAGTGGGAATTTGGGGCTGCAAAGATTGCGGCAAAGTGAAAGCTGGTGGTGCTTACACATTGAAGTGAGTAATTACTCTCTCAACTTCTTGTTTTTTCCTTTTTTTTGTGTCTGAATAATTAATCCCGATTTTCATTTTTAATAGCACTGCAAGTGCGGTTACAGTTAGGAGTACAATCCGAAGACTGAGGGAGCAGACTGAGAGTTAGAGCATTCATCTGCTTTTGGTGCAGCCACCTTATGATGTGTCTACTTGTGTTCTGAGATCAGATTTGATTTTCAATTTTGAGTACTTTATGATGTTGAACCAGCTCGATTAGCCACTAGTATACTTGAGAATTTCAGTTTACTCAAAAGACAATTATATTCACTGTCGCATTATGTTGGCATTATTATTTCTTAAAGGCTTCGATTTAGTTTGGACTCGAAATTTCCATTATGATACTTAGGTTGTTGGTTCAACTTTAATCATTTTGAAATTTGATTAAAGTGAAAGGCGTAGATGCTGGTTGAGATTTGATGTAGTACCCTCGTGTTTTGAAATGAATAATCAGTAAGAGAATACACATTTCTAGATTCCATACCCACAAATTTCGCCAAGTTGACAGTTTAGTGGTCTAGATGTCACCAGTTGACCTATCATGTAGGGTTCAGGTTTTAGTGGTTTGAGTCGCATCTATTCAACAACAAACCCATTATAATTTCACAAGTAGGGTCTTGTAATTATAGACAATATTTTGGCTAATGGAGTCCATCTCACATAAGCATAAAATTTTTTGCAAAGTGTAGACTTTGTTGGCAATATTATCTGAGACCCAAAAATATTGCATTGTGTGGTGAATATCATTTGCACAAGTTGTATCTCTTCTTTTACACCTAAGAGGCCAAGACTTTTTTGCCTATAAAAGGGAAGGTCATTAGTTCATTTTAGACACACCAACAAGACTTGAGTCTTCATTTCTTGTTTCTTCCTTTCCTCCTTTAGTAAGAGTGTTTTGTTTGAGAGTTAGTGTTGGGAAGCACTTGTGTGAACCTTTTCTTTGGAGTGATCTTGTGAGATTATTCTCTTAGGGTATTTGGGATTAATTAGAGTGTTTACTCTAATTTTGTACTCTCTTTTGTACTCTTGTTGGTATCGTGAAATTGCTCCTCTCCGCTTGTGGACGTGTCACCTTGACCGAACCACGTTAAATTTGTGTCTTCTTTATCTTCTTTAATTGCCATTATTATCAACTTGCATTGTCTTTGTTATTGTCATTATACCGTTGTTTGGCTAAATTTCGCACTACCCGGGTTTCCGATCCTAACAAATTGGTATCTGAGCCAGATATAACCGAGTTTGTTTCAGTAGCCAATATGACTTTAACAAAGACTTGTTTAGAAATTTGATCGAAGTGCAAACTTCGGAATGTGGCAATTAAAGATGGAAGTTATCCTAATTCAGGATGGCTTAGATTTGGCGTTAAAGGGAAAGGAGAATAAGCCGGATAAAATGACGGATGAGGAGTTTGCCGTCATAGACAAAAAGGCAAAAGCAGGTATCATTTTAAATCTCTCAAATGCGGTTTTACGTGAAGTTTCTGTAGAAATCACAGCCAAAGGTATATGGGAAAAATTGAAAACCTTATATATGAAGAGGACGATGGAAAATAGACTTTACCTGAAGCAGAAGCTTTATACAATTCGTATGGGTGAAGGTACCTCTATTTTCTCTCATCTTGACACCTTTGATTCCATTCTTATGGACTTGAGTAATATAGATGCTGAAATTAAAGATGAGGATCAAGCCGTGTTACTACTTTGTTCTCTACCCCCATCTGTTAAGCATATAAGAGATACTATGCTTTATGCAAAGGATAATATCTTTTATAAGGATATTAAATCTATCTTAAAATCAAAAGAACAAATAGATAGTGATATTACTGGGGAAGCTAGTAGAATTCAAGCGGAAGTTGGCTTGTTTGTTAGGGGCCAATCCGATTCCAATTCTAGATACAATAATTTAGAGTGTCGCTATTGTCATAAGAAATATCACATTATCTCTGAATGCTATAAACTGAAAAATAAAGAAAAGCATAAAGAAAGAAAAAATGAGCACAAAAATACTGACACCGCCGAAGCTAGTGTAGCAACTGATGAGATTGAGGGAACTATATTTTTAGCAACTGAAACTAGTTTCAGATTAGACAATGAGTGAATTTTAGATTCCGGTTGTTCATATCATATGTGTCCTAGTAGGGACTTGTTTTCTACATATGATTCAGTTGCAGGTGGAGTTGTCCAATTGGGTAACAATGTTACTTGTAACGTTATTGACAAAAAGTACAATTCAGATCAGAATGCACGATGGTGTGGTGAGAACTCTCGCCGATGTTAGATATGTTCCTGAGTTAGAAGAAAAATCTCATCTCTTTGGGCACTTTAGAATCCCTTGGGTGCAAATTCACTGGTGAAGGTGGAGTTCTAAAAATTTTTCAAGGAGCTCTTGTGATCATGAAAGCACACAGATCTGGTTCGTTGTATACTTTATTGGGCTCCACTGTTATATGCCATACTACAGTTTCGGTATTAGACAACTTGTCTGATTTTGATGGCATTAAATTTTGACATATGCCCATTGAGGCTTTTGCGGAGAAGGTGGAGCAAACTTACTATATCAGCCAAAATTAGGCCAAGGTGGAGATTTGTAATTATAGCCAATATTTTGGCTAATGGAGTCCATCTCACATAAGCATAAGTATCTTTGCAAAGTGTAGACTTTGTTGGCAATATTCTCCGGGACCCAAAAATATTGCATTGTCTGGTGGATATCATTTGCACAAGTTGTATCTCTTCTTTTACACCTAAGAGGCCAAGACTTTTTTTGCCTATTAAAGGGAAGGTCATTAGTTCATTTTAGACACACCAACAAGACTTGAGTCTTCATTTCTTGTTTATTCCTTTCCTCCTTTAGTAAGAGTGTTTTGTATGAGAGTTAGTGTTGGGAAGCACTTGTGTGAACTCTTTTTTTGGAGTGATCTTATGAGATTATTCTCTTGGGGTATTTGTGATTAATTAGAGTGTTTACTCTAATTTTGTACTCTCTTTTGTACTCTTGTTGGTATCGTGAAATTGCTCCTCTTCGCTTGTGGACGTAGGTCACCTTGACCGAACCACGTTAAATTTGTATTTTCTTTATCTTTTTTAATTGCCGTTATTATCAACTTGCATTGTCTTTGTTATTGTCATTATACCGTTGTTTGGCTAAATTCCGCACTACTCGAGTTTTCGATCCTAACAGGTCTGGGAAGAGTAGTATGTACGCAGATCCTATCTTTACCTTGAAGGTAGATAGGTTGTTAAAGAAACAACATGTAGTAATAGAAATCTAACAATAATAGAATACAAAACGAGTAGCTTCTATTCAGTTGGGCTTTTCTTATTTCCTATAATCTCCACGGATAGGGGTAAAAGGAAATCTAACTTAACAAATTTTCATGTCACAGTGCTGTAATTGGGCTGTTTTGGTTTCTTGCCTCTTGAATCTTCGTATTTCCTGCGGGGTCCGCTCAAGTGGCTGAAGCTATTTTTCCCTTCCCCCACCAATATTTAAATATAAGGACTCAGGAAATGGCCAGTTGCCTTATCATGCCTATTGAAACCCCCGCCCCCCCCTAAAGAGAATAAGCCTTTCTTGGTGTGCTTGAAAAAGCATTTAGCATATGCTATCTATAGGTGTCAAGAATGGTCAAACCATATGACAGTAAAGTGTGATGTACAAAAATGAGAAGTGCACGATAAAGTTTTATGGTGTGCCTCACACAACTGACATTTAGTTGTGTGAGACCTCTTTTCATCTTACAATTTATGGATCCATATTATACACTTTTGGGTCTGCAAAATTCTGGATCCACAAAATTGTTTGACAAAAAAGAAGCCTCACACAACTAGTGTCAGTGGTGTGAGGCATAAAATAAAATCTTTCGTAGTGCACCTAAGTGTTTTGTTTGGTACGCAAGTTAAAATTAAAGGAACTGAAAAATCAGAAACTGTTCCTAAGTGTTGCATAGAAATAATATCCCCCAGCTACTGAACACTACCTTGGCTTCTCCATTTCAGATATAAGAACCCTTAACATGACAAACTCAGTCTCCGGCCCGTATAGACAATTCATATCATCACATTCATATAAACATTGACTCACAAAACTGTATCTTATATCCCTCATATTCTTAAGCGATTATCTGAAAGAGTAGGTGCAATGATACTTCGCGCTTATTGACTTAAAAATTCTGGATATGCTTTTGATGAGACATTTATAAAGTCATTCGTCAATACAGCATATGTTTAGATATTACTTTATACAACATTACATAGGTGATCCCTTTGGGATATATGCTTAGTAAGTAAACATGCAGTAACTTGGCCATTCTATTATGGCAAACACAAAAAGCAGGAAACTATCTACACTTACTGGAGAGCAACAAAATAAGAAAAGATAAAACACCTACTTACATCTGCAGGTTTTTGCTCTCTTAGCTCCTATACGAGGGGCCACTATATATGCATATTCTTAAAGGCCTAACGAAGGGGACGATAAACTTGCTCCTCAATCAGCTAGTTGCCTGTTGTGGTTCCAAGCAGGTCCCCGGAAGTTTCAGTCTCTGTATGTAAAAACAAGACCGATGGGTGAGTGGAAAACCATAGCTTCTACCAAACAGAGGGGTTTACACAACTGCTAGTGGCGAATGACAACTGTCTCTGTTGTGATGTATTTGGTTTTGGACAGCTTTCACAGCTGCTACTCTTGCTGCAGTGGCGGACTTGTTGGCAGCTGTAACAGCTCGTTTTACTCTTTCATCCACCTTTGTCACATTAATAGCTTTCTCAGAAGCTTGTCTTGCTTCCTAAGAACAAGGAACAAAATTTATGAGCACATTGAGGTAGAGCACATCCAAATGTTAATACTGAGTGCACAACCAAATCAGGATGTCAGGAAACAAAATTATTACCTGGACCGCATGAAGCACTTTAGAATGGTCGACTGCAGAAGGAGATCCAGGGAGGGCACCAAGACTAGTTGAAACATTAAGAATCCCATTCTGCCAGTGACCAGACTGAGTTTCCCCAGTTCTGAAAGTATAAATGCCAAATCCTTGCCTCTTACCCTCATGCCACGCTCCTTCATAGCGATGTCCATTTCCAAAATGGTATACTCCAAAACCATGCATCTTATCCGCAAAATACTCTCCAGCATATGCATCCCCATTTCTGCATAGTCATGCAAACCAACAAACTGGTGAGTAAAAATACACATGCACAAATATAACCCCAAGAAAGAGAACAGAGATAGGGAAAAGAAATACAAGTATATGACAGACAGAGTACACGAATAATTGATAGCTTATTGTTTTTTGTTTATCACTCATTGATACATGACGTGGTACTGCG